AGTTGAGTGTATTTCGTGTGAGAAATGCATTTTTGGCGCCTTTTGTACCACTTTTTTGTATCTCTTATGATATGACAATCGCTTGTATTTATGTCTTGAGTTAACTTTTATGCCATTAAAACAAACACTAATTACTCATTAATTGATTAATTAAATAATTTTTTCTTTAAATCTCTGATTAATCGCAAGTTTTATGAGTTAATCATTAGATATAAATAACGTGTGTTTGATGTGTGAGTTGGGAGTGAAGGCATTGAATGGGTTTCCCATCGCATAGAAAGGGCTCAAAGTTTGCGATCCATTCAATGGCACAGTATTTGTGTTGACGTTATCTATGGGTCACTCGTATTGCAGACACCATTCACTCCTATTAACAAATCTGTGAATGTCTTCAGAGTTGACCACAAATTGGACGCAAATCCCGAAGATTTCTGACACTAATCGACAACACAATCAGCGAATCAACCAATGGTTTACCACTGATTTGATCCATCGCTAGTACAGGCAATAATTGAGTGGACTATCGGTGACACCAATCGGTGAGCAATGAGTGCTTCTGGAGACGACTCGTCCATCGATGGTCTGTCCAATGGCTTCGACACAATGCGATTACAATGTCGGATCAGCTCCGGTGTGTCGGATGAGGTGGACGTGTTTGTGATGTCCGAGTCGGGCAAACCTGTCTATTGTTACTCCAGACGCGAGGACTCGATCACATTGATGGGCGTCTGTGTGGCACTGATCCATGTGGTGGACAGTGTCCACAGCGACACCGTTCGCCACATTCAGACCACATCCGGCCTTCGGATCACTTTCTCTCATAAGCCGCCACTCATTATATGTCTCGTGTTTCGCGTCAACTCCGGCGTCGACTCATCCATACTTGTAAACCAAGTGAACGCACAGATTGTATCCATACTGACGGCTAAGACACTGAAGTCGGTCTTTGAACAAAGACAGACCTTCGACTTAAAGAGATTACTATCAGGTGTGAGCCCTTGTGGTGCGCTCGACCTCCTGAGTGAGTTACTAATGGTTTTGTTGTCTCCCCAATCAATAGGAAGCGAGAAACTGATCGACACATTGATTGACGTCATATTGAATCCAATCGATGCCAACAAATGTGATCAACAAATGGCCAAAAGTCACAAAAAGGCGAATCAAGTGAACGCATACCTCACGTCGTCGACCACCACTTTCCGCACGATTGGCACCCAATCGGTGGTCAACAACCGGAACCACATCTCCGGTCGCGTCTATATCCCCATCCGACTCATGTCGACATCACTGCGCGAATCGGTTTACAATATAATCACTTCGTGTGCCTCTTCGGCGCCGAACGTAGTCTTCAGTCTATTATTCTCTGTCGACAAGAAGTTCAAAGACGAGAACAATTGCAATAACAATGAAATCCAATTAATTCTTGTCTGTAATCACAACTCGAAGGCCAGAATCAACGCACTGGACATCCAATTGATCTATTCGTTGGTCATCGCATCGGAGTCTCAGTTATCATCGGTTGAGTCGTTTTGGTTACCCATATGTCTGCCCCGATTCGACTCCAATAACTTCCTTCACACACACATCTCATACCTGTCCGACGAGTACTGCTTAGCGTTGTTGACCACCGATCGCGAAGACTTCCACAAATGCCAACTCATGAAGGACTCGGTGATCGACCGGTTGGCCAAAGTGCACCTCCAGCCCAGTCGTTCCAGTCTCGCGGACTTAGCGCTGCCGCAGATCCAGTATTTATGGTACCAATCGGTGCGACAGTCGGTGCTGTGGCGCCAGTCGACGGTCGCCGACTTCAGTCCATTGAATCACTACATCACGAATCGGATGTTGAAATCAAATCTGAAGACATTTTGGTTGCGGAGCGAAACCGATGGCCTACTGTTGGGCTGGCATTTGACCACATTTCAGCTGTACGTCCAGTTCGACGTGACTATCACTCAATTGCAGGC